AAAGAGCGCCGACAAGAAATCGCAAAATCTTTCTTTGGTTGTGTTGTGGTACAAAAGGAAATGGGGGCTTTCATGGCCAAGAGGTTAAGGTGTTCGCCTCTCATTCAAACGTCCCGGGTTCGAATTCGGATAGTGATAGAAAAATTCTTCTCTACAAATTTTCTCCTTTCACATAATTTCCTGCTCTCTAACAATGTTCTGTCGTCTGCTTTCGTCTCCACTTTCTGCCCCCACCCCCTCACCTCCTTTGCCCTATCATCTGGGTTCCTGACTCTTTCTGCAACCTTTCTACTGCTTCTCCTTGGCTCCTTCTTTCTGCTGTCCTTCAGCCACATCCGTGATCAAATGGTAGGTAAGATCTACACCTAGCCTTCTGGGACAAGGGCGGAAAATCTCGGAGGTCCCGTGGGAAAGCTGCGCACGTTGAAGTTCCTTTGGTGGTCTAAAATCGATAAGAGTAGGCTTCAGCCGCCACCCGGGCAAAATTCAAAATTTCCCGGCAATTGAAATTGTTTTATGAGTCCAGAGCGCTCATAGGACCTTATGCAGTTGCCAGCGCTGTAAAACACTTACCCCCCCCCCCCCAAAAAAAAAAAAACCCAGCAAAAAAACAAAAAAACAAAAGGAAGTGTCTCTCCAATTATCGTCGTTACTGGATTTATCCCATATGTCGTGACCACACCAAATTAGGAAAATTCAGTCTCCTACTCCAATTATTCTCTGAAGGAGATAAAAATGCAAGATGAAGAAAGCTGCATTTGATTTTCTTCTGACCACGTGCGCCCCTGGCTTACAGAAACAAGACACAAACTGGAGAAAGGAAATTCCCCCATTCCAAAGATTGGTTGTCACTTAAAAGTAAGTTTCACTGCTTGTTTTGTTTTTTCCCTTATTATTAATCCCATTATCATCATCACCACCACCACCACCAGCAGCAGCAGAAGCAGCAGCAGCAACAGCAGCACCGTCAAAGTCCAACAAATCACACCCGACTCTCCTCACAACCCGTAAAGCGTTCGACATGTTTGACGCACAAAAGTGAGGAGCGGTGTGGACCGGTGATGAGCGGAGCGGAAAGGAGGCTGTTGACAAAGTAAGTATTAGTTCATAGCGTTTGACGCTTTCATCATCGTTTTTATTTTTTTTCTGGGGCGTAGCGGATGCTGTTGACAAGCGCCCTTACGCAGAAATGGAAGCTGCGCATCGTCTAGACAAAATCATCGAGAATGAGGGAGTCCCTGACGAGTTGTACTCACAGCCTCCGCCAAGCACTTTCTCCGAGAAATACCACACGAATGATACTTAAAATGAGCTAATTTTTATTTCGGTTTACAGACAGAAAAAATGAATTTAGTACAGTAAAACTGAAACACCGAGGTGCCAAAATACCCCCCCCCCCCCAGTCTCCAAACTTGATTATTATAAATACGCATTCTCCCTGTCATATGAAAAAGACAAAAACGACTAGCCTATAAACTGCAAATAAGGTTACGCTATTTTCATGGTGTGTTGTCTTTGAAAAGCATAATTCAGAAAAAAATGGCCTCCAAAGTCGAAAAATAATCTACTTTGATCGTGGTCTACTGTTTCTAACCATCATAGTTCAGAGAAAGTGGCCATCAAAGTCCCAAGTACGTAAACTGGATCTTTTATGTAAACACATGTATTCAACAGGGCAAAAACCTCTCAAAACAATACATGTATTTTGACCCAATTTTTAGCGGAAGCCTTACCAAACACCACCTCTCCCCTGAACAGTGGAGAGTCATATACACTGTATTTTACAGAAAGATAAATTGTTTAAAGTTAGTACTTGTCTGGGTTTTTTGTTTGTTTGTATGTTTTAATGATCTTAAATAATAAAGAGATACAAATCTAAAGAAAATCAAATACCAGCTTCTTTTCATTCCAATTTTGTCTTTTTAATATTCCATATATTTGTGTGAATTTCTGACAACGATATATTCCAAAACACAAGCAGAATTAAGAAGGGCGTGGTCTTATGGCCACAATGTGTGTTTGTTTTTAAGGGTGAGTGAATGGCTGGGGACATTATCCTCGAAATAGTACCTTTTACTTTTATTATAGGTTTGAAGATAATCTATGATATTCAAAGTAATCTAAAAATGACCTTTATACCATTTATACAGCGTCAAAACATATTTAAACGTCCTCCCGGGGGCTCTATCGTGGCCTAGAGGTTAAGGTGTTCGCCCCTCATTCAATAGGTCCTGGGTTCGCATCCGAATAGCGACGGAAATTTTTCTTCTCTAAAACTTTTCTCCTTTTCACATAATTTCCTGCTGTCTAACAATGTTCTGTCGCTTGCTTTCGTCTCCACTTTCTGCCCCCACCCCCCTCACCTCCTTTGCCCCATCCTCTGGGCTCCGGGCTCTTTCTGCAATCTTCCTACTGCTTCTCCTTGGCTCCCTCTTACTGCTGTCTTTCAGCCACATCCCTGCTCTTGTGGTAGGTAAGATCTAAGCCTAGCCTTCTCGGACAAGGGCGAAAAATCTCGGAGGACCCGTGTGCAAGTTGCGCACGTTAAAGATCCCTTGGTGGTCCAAAATCGATAAGAGTAGGCCTCGGCCGCCACTCGGGCAACATTCGAGATTTCTTACCAACTGAAATATGTTTTATGTGTCCCGCGCGCTCATATGACCTTACGTAGTTGCAAGCGCCGTAAAACACTTACACAAAATTAGAGTGGACCAAGTGAACTCTCTTTCCGGGAGTCTAAGAAAGCTGTCAACAATTGTATGTGGCTTGAATCTTTGACAGTTACAGCTCTGGTAGTTGATACTGTCATGCGAATCACACAACCTTCTCAAAGATTCACAGACGGCTAACATAATAATTGTAGCGAATAATTAAAACCAAAAGAAGTTCTCCCCATGTTGAGTTGAGTTCAGAACTCTTTATTTGACTTGATAATGCACAGAAGATGCGGGTACAGACTTACTAGTTTATTAGAACCATAGCAACGGACGTTATTGAACAATATGCCCAATGGGCCTAACTTTACATATACCAGGTTTCTCTAATGGGATAAGTTAGAGAGTTACTTATAGACTTATAATGTTTGGTACAGAAATTGCACTACAGAGGTCATGTACATCAACACCCCGTCTGTTTTGTAAGACAATTTGTTACTTTGAAAAGAGTTCCGCGGAGGGCGGCAGACTAACAACACACAAAAGAGAGGGTATTTTGAGCGGGGTATACCCTACCCCTAACCTTAAACCCTAACTCATATCCTAACCCTAACCCTAACCCTATACCCTATCCCTAACCCTAGTCCTAACCTTACCCTAACCCTAACCCTATATACGCTAACCCTAAGCCCTAACCCTAACTGTAGTATAGATCTAGTTTGCTCCGTGGACCTTGTCACGCTTAGGGTCGGACCTCTGCGGAACTCCTCCCTTACTGTGTACTCGTTGTATAGTACCGGTAAAATGATTATTATATACTGACGAGCAAAAGAAAGTGGGCACACTACGTTCTGGGCATTATTTCCGTTCCTTACCGTAGTAATGACGTATTGCCAATGGATTTTGAAAGGCTTGCCATTTTTTCATTAAGGGCAGACAAAAAACTAAGAAAAACGATCAAAAACACACCTTTATTTAGAAACTCATAACACCGATTCGAATGTTCAAAATCCCAAAAATAGTGACGGGTGTAACTCCCACCAACATTGATGACTACAGTACATCTCTGACTCATTTATTGCACAAGTCGTTGGATAAATTGCTGGAGAATATAATTCCAAGCATTCGTTAATGATTGTTGCACTTGTGGGGTTGTCGTTGGGGGTGGCCGAATCTCTGGGTATCAGAGGCACGGTGTGCTGGAGCAATGTCCTGTCGGCACACGAGATTGTTCCTGTGGCGAGCCAGAAACGGCAGAGGGTGTGGATAGAGAACGTCTTTGATGTATTTCCGGGCAGTCAGATTACCGTCGATAATGACTTGGTCGAATTCATCAGTACTGGTTATGGATTCCCTTACCATAATGCTAAGTTTGTCAGGAACAGCACTTACACTCTGAGGTAAATGACGTTTATGACGTCTCCGGTAGGCTTTCTGCCTTCCATAGTGGCGTTCCAAAACAAATCTGGACTCGTCAGAAAATATCACTCTATTCCACTAGCGGTTCAGCCATCACTGGTGCAGACATTGCCCAGTGGAGTCTGGCATGACGATGTCTTTGGAGGAGACGAGTGCGTCGAGCTGGGGGTCGGGCAACGATTTCGTGGGCTTTCAAGCGTCGACGAACGGTGAAGCTGTTGATTGGTCTAAGCCCAGGCCAATCTCTGGCAGTTTTAGAAGCTGTTTGAAACCGATCCCGCAAGTGTGGAACTCTGTCTTCAACAGCAGTAGTGACACGAGGACGACCAGACCTTGGAGTGTCACTAACCGAACCACTTGCTTGAAGTGTATCCTTTGCTTTTGGATCGTATCTCTCTCAACATTGAAAGCTCTAGCGACAGAAGAAACCGTTGCATTAGCTCTCGGCATGCCAAGAGCTTCTTGACGTTGCGCATCACTGAGACGAGGCATCGTATTTTAAAAAAATTCAAAAGAACTAACCCCAAAACTCTGACGGCCTTTTCCCTGACACACGTTGAAGTGTGTAACGAATAAAGAATAAAAGTAAAGGCATTTTGTAAACTTTCAAGAAAAAACGAGAAAACATGTTTTAGGCCAAACATATTGTAAACACTTTTTACAACAACAAAATAATCAAATGTTGTTTTGACCGACTTTCTAAAGTCACGCAAGCATAGCATGTCAATCGCCAAATCAAAATTCGCGAGACTACTCATACAGCACCGATTTGAAAACTGCCCATTTTCTTTTGCTCGCCAGAATATTATTATTATTATAATTATTACAATCAACTACACAAGTTTAAAACAATAAAACTTTGCTAAAAGATCCAATGATCTAAAATGTAAACGAAAGCAAGGAAACGAGTAGGATCGTTTTACATACCCTGTTACTTTTTTGGCATGCGACATAGACCTGATGTTTATGCCGTGGCAATGCTTGAGTACATTAGCAAAGATTAAAACTATTATATCTATCCTTGACAGTAGTGAATATCTCTGCCGGTATCTTGTTCCAGCTTTTGTCAGCTGAGAGCATTCACAGACTGTGCGCTGCCGGCATGGAGGTCAGACATTTCGGGAAAACCGAGGAACGCGAATTTGGATCTAGTTTTGGTGAAACAACTCCAGAAAGACCATGCAGGACCTACGAATAAATGTCCGTTTTCGACAGGATGGAGACTGCACGCACGTCCTCAGTACTAAAACAGGTTGGGTCTTGGGTGGTGTTTGGACAATGTTTTGATTTATTTTTTATTTTTTATTTTCTTGTAATTTTTAATTTTTAATTTTTTTTAATTTTTTTTTTTTTTTTGGGGGGGGGGGTTAGTTTAGGTCCTTGATACTGAAAGTACTCATGTGAGACATCTGTATGCATATTAGATCGATGCACTCGACACCATGTGACACATATTTAAACCCATGACGTGTTTCCTTCACACGAGCATCGTGTGGCACATCTTTACATAATATTAGCTAGTATACTACACAGCTGGCATCATTCTGACAGTGAAGTGTGAAGAAACAAACGAGACTCCCGTTCAAACTCTCTAGATCTTGTTTCATCTCTGAATGGTTCATACGGATTTCAACATAAGTTAAGGAAACACTCTGAGTGGCTTTCTTTGGTCGACCTGCAAGTGGGCGTTCTTGGACCGATTCAGTGGCTTGATGGCGCTGCATCAGGCGGACAATGACAGAGTGCGACACTGCAAGCCTTCTGGCAACTTCTCGGGCTCCATCTCCATCCTGCAGCCATGCCATAGCCCTGGCACGATCTAAGTCTCTAAGCTTTCGCCTTGGTGGCTTGTTCATGTGATACCGAATTTTGCGTAAACGGCGGCATATATTGCCATCAAAGTGAGCACAATCGAGACTATACGTCCATTTATCACGTGCACCATACATTTTAACTGAAGACTTGAGTTCGATTGCCGTGTGGGGAGAATTTTATCGGATAATCTCTGTCTTTCTTATGGGATTTTGTATTCCTGTTAGCCCGGGCTGGCCCTGACAGGCAGGGCCAAAGCCCGCCTCCTAACATCTAAATTGTGTCGATGGGGGCGTAAAAACACCCAGGCTTACATCTTATTTATACTTTTTATGATTAACATAGAAAGGTTCTGTACGATTGATGAAAAGTACAGCGCAATAACTTACATAGTGAAGTTAGTAGATCACACATTATATTTTGGACTTCACGGAAACGTAATATTTTAAAAACTTAGTCTGGAATGTTTTCTAGTAGCCCAGTTTTCCACTACGACGACATAAAGGTTGACCAACTATTTTGTCAAACTGTATTACTGGGCATAGAGTGCATTGATCTATTAGGTACTTGAACCATTTTCATACAAATTTAATACAGGGTGATCCCAAAGAAACTTTACAACTTTTTTTCTGAATATCTCGCGCAAAAATTGTTCTAGAATCCACGAAGAATAAACATGTTTTGAAAACGGAAAAGGCTGAAAGAAAAAAGCGCTCAAAAACGCAATGTTCACCAGTGTTTAAAAATCTTGTAAAGGAAGTCGTAAAAAGATTAGTTGACCCTTTTCTTTATTTTCTCTTTGACATTAAATTTCCATCCCTGTGACATTTAAACAACATTTAATATCTTTTACAAAGTTTTAAAAACCTAACGATTTCATTCGGAAATTCCTAGAAGCAGTGCTCCTCATTCCCTCCTTTGGACTCAACACATTTTTAACGCGTCGTTCTAAATGTTCAGTGGTGCCCAAACACAAGGACCTGCTAAACCATGAGTTTTTAAAGCCACATACACCGTACATGTTTACTAAGAAATGGCTTCTAGAGACAATAGAGTGGGGGTGCCCTATAGACAGCATTTTTTAAGTTAACATTTCCAGCAGGGTGAAAATGGACTTTGCACTAAACCAAATGTCATCGAGGAAATGATCCCTCTTTACAAAACAATCGAGGAATCATGAACACATTGCCACGCTCTGATCCATGTCATCTCGGCCCAGCGAAGATGACCATGGTATTGTCGTAGGTTAAGGTATGCCATGAGAATGCAGACTGTTGATGTGTAGGAAAGTCCTAGCTGCAGATCGTCTACAGACAGACGTCTCATGGGACTCGGCTTCTGAAATCTGCACTCTGGTGACATTTAAAGGGCTGCGGATGGTGCATGTTCGACCTGAAGTGGTCATTTTAAAAAGAACTTTTCAGTTCTGATTTGCTATAATGCGAACTGTTGCGTCATGCTATGAAAATGGCGACAAGGTTGAAAATGGGTCGTTGTTTTTTATGCACTAGATCTATATAGAGCAAAACCATTCAATGGACTTATCTAAAATGTGTATCAGACAAATTCCTTTTGGCTTCCAAACGTTATGTTCAAATCTGAAACGCAAAACTTCAGTATGGAGGATGATATTTACTAAACAAGTTGTAACGTTTTTTGGGGGATCACCCTGCATATTGTGAGTGTCCAAATGTTTGCTAATCATAACCGAAACTTATTTAACAATAAACACATCATTTCCAAAATCAGTTTGGACTAAATGTAATTTGTAAATTATGGACAGATTGCCTGTCAAAGTCGATATTACGATATATTTGGTCATTCCTCCATTGAAAAAGAACCTGATTTTAAAAAAACAACAACCAAAACAAACATTCCGAATTTTTAGTTATTGATATAGAATTGTATACATGTACTAGTATATAATGTTATAAACTCTCTCACTAACACACACAGTCAAAGGTGAACACATATAAAAGATTGCAAACGACTCAATGTTACTTCATTGTCGACACTCGCTGATAACGTATTTCTCAATTACAGTTTTTTTTCGTTGCAAAGTCCCAGAACCAGATGACACCTCAGCAAAAGCCATAAAAGTTTGTGGAAGCACAGGTGTACATTGTGGCTGAGGCGAATTTTCGGTAGAACGTGGGAATAAAGGAAATGCCCCGAAGACTACCAGAAAGCCACAATGGTGCCATGGAAAGCATACACCAAAACAATAAAACAAAGGATAAGACCTATAGCAAAGAGAAACCTAAGAGAAGCTCAGTTCGGATTCTGCAAAGGAAGAAGATGCACGGATGTTGTATTCACATTACGACAGATGTGCGAGAAAACCATGGAGTACAACAAGGAAGCCAAGGTCGTCGTCATAGATCAGAGGAAAGCTTTTGGTATAAAGTGAACCGAGCTGAACTGTGGAAGACACTTGAAATGTATGGTCTCAGAGGACAACTATTAGAAAACATTAGAGCTCTATACACCAACAGCAGAAGCTCAGTAAGAACAAAAGACGACAACACAGACTTGTTTAAAGTTAGATTAGGAGTAAGATGGGGATGCGTTTTATAATACATATGGACACAATAACGCAAACCCAAACCAAAGCCAAGAAAGCCTAAGTGAACTTCTTTTTGGAGAAGAGCAAACCAACAAAAAAATCACACCACCAACCTGAACAACAGCTGCGAGAAATATGAAAAGAGAATAAACAAAATAAAATACAGAAGTTATAATAGTTAGCCGAACACATAATCCCCAGAATATTCATTTCAATACTAGACAACTGTAACTGGTCAAGGAGTTTGAAATTAAATATCTTCGCAAGATTTTTTTTCTTCTGAAAACGGGCCCATAGACGGAGAAATAGAAAAGCCAACTCAAAAAGCCAACACCGTCACCTATCAGCTCGCACCCTGTCTATCTCATTCAAACATCTTCGTGGACACAAAGACAGCTCATCACTTCAATGTATACCAACATTTTGCTACCAGTGCCAGACCAGGACCCTACGTACATGTAAAACACATGAAAGCAAAATCGCTGCATGTTAGAAGAAATGTCTCCACAGAACCCCATTTCAAGACGAGACTGGTAGAGAAAAAAAAGAAGTACCTAAGTGCAACTATTGGAACGGGGTCTTGCCTGCCTCTAGCAAGAAAACAGAATAAACTAAAGGTTTGGCAACCTAATACGAATGCCACCTAACCAGCCAGCCTCAAGAGCCTATAACACTAAGTACTCAGGCGATAAAGGAAGAGGCAGGCTGCACAAAAGACGGAATGAGGGGGTAAAAGGAGCCCAGACAATTTTATAACATCCCAGTTGAGACAACTGCAGAGTTGGCCCACCATCGAAAACTGCATCTCCACTCAACGCCTAACGGCCACAGAGGGTGACCAAATAAAAAGTCAAAAAAAAAAAAAACTCTGGTTATTTCAAGGTCTACATTATTTGATGACGTATATCCCCGCAATTCTTCCACTGTTGTGCTGGAGCCGTGTCCCGTCAGGGCAGGATTTTGGCGCGGGGTAGGTGGAAAGGCCTGTCTCTCAAGGCTGCCCGCCGGACGGAGAACGTGCTTGGCCTTGTCACTTTTGGCTTTGGCTCATTCTTAGGTGGATGGTGGTCAGCTTTCTTGTCGTCCTTGGCTATGATGTCAGAGCGATTGTTTCGCCTGGTTGTCACAATGGAAAGAGAGGCAAAAATGATGGTAATAGGAGTCATACTACTACTACTACTACTACTACTACTACTACTACTACTACTACTACTACTA